ATAATTTTGTTGTTTGAAGTAATGTTCAAACAAGAAGACTTAAGAAGAGAGCTGGCCCTGTACTAAATAAGCGGAATTTATTTTACAATATTTGATGAAAACTAGAGGCAGACAAGAGCAAACAACTAGGGATACTCTACCTAGATCCAGTACTGGGCTGGGTAAACAGTCATTTTAAGGCAAACAACATCTTAAATTGGATACAGAAACCAAACTGAAACTAGTCAAGTTCCTATAAGAATGTCCACTCTGTTCAACTCCTTGGCACTTGAAATTCTGATCATTCATAGGATCTACACATTCACTAAAAAGAAGCTTATTGGAGAGCACATTACAGCAGTTAAATCTTACAGTGGGAAATTTCATGAACTTGTATCAAACTAAAATAAAATAAAATTATAAATATTCGCTTGGCTGGACTACCCATTGGAAAAGGGTATATGCTTATGGTGGGGCCCTCAAACCAAGGCCCACAGGCCAGGTGCTGCCCTCCCAGGTCACTTACCTGGCCCCTGCCCTAAACTTTAAACTTGAAGGCACTCAACAACAACAATCCTAACAATTTGACTATCTCATCAGCCCAAAGCAGGTCCACACCTCCCACTGAAATACTGGTAAGTTTATATCAGTTAACATTGTTCTTCATTTTAGCTATTCTATTTTTTAATGTTTTCAGGGGGGTTTTTTGTAGTACAAATAAGGTATGTGCAGAGTGCATGAGAATTCGTTCATTTTTTCCCCAAAACTATTGTCTTAGGGATCATGAACCAGCCCTCTATTAAAAAGTTTGAGTACCACTGCTGTAGGAGAAGAGTTCTGTAGTATGTAAACACTTTTACTTTTTGATTTGTGACTGATAATCTTGACTAAGTTTGCAGGTTTCAATGATGGGTCCGTTCATTCCACTATTTTCTCAGTTTCTAAGTAGAAGACAATTACAGAAAGACAAGCGTGAATGGAAATTCAGTAGGGCATAATTTCTGGAAAAATATAGATATGTTTCTCTTTGTCACTTACTAAATGCTGTCTTGCAGTACAGGACATTCTAATCTCATTGGCCAGTAAGAGCTAGAGGGAAAGTCCATATTTTGACTATCTCAGTTTGCCTCTCGACAGCCTTAATGATTACAGTCATTAACATGATGGAGAATAGGAACACTTTCATATCTCCCATCGTAGGCAACTGTTGCTGGAAGAGAAGAGGGCTTTCTCCCCTACCCATTGTTCTAGTGTTTAAATCAGAGGTGGATAATTGAAGCCAGAACTGGATCCAATGTCAAAGGAAGATCACACCACATCACCAGTAGTGATTTCCAGGTCAGACTAACAGTCTGACCTGAAAATCACTTCTGGTTGCTGCATTTGGACTTCCTTGTGTTAAATCTGGATTGAAAGAGTGGGAGGATTTGAACAGACTGTCAAGGCTGTTAAGTTTACAGGAATGCTATTTAATATTCTTGGTCAAGATATTTTTGTGTGTGGTTGGAAAGATAGCTAGCCCTCCCCTCCCCCCCCCCATACCATATTTACTCACCTATAATTCACCATTGATTGTAATGTGCACCTCAATTTTTAAGGTGCGAATTGCAAAAAAAAAAAAGTTGTCAAATGGCTTCCCCTTGCCTATTGGATGTTCTGCTGCCAGTTGGGAAGCTGTGCACATCCATCAGATTGAGGCTGGCAAGTTTGCCAGCCTTGATCTGACAGAGGGGAAGAGGAGGGTTTATGTGTGCAATTCTAACATGCCTACGAATATAAAGAGCAACTTACTTTTGACTATGTAATTTAGCGAAAAAATGTGAACATTAAATTCGAGTAAATATGGTATGTTGGTCATGGTATGTTGCATTTCCCTCCCACTAGTTTAAACTATAGTCTTCTCCTAAGTAAGCAGACAATGTAATAATATTCTTCAGAACAACTCTTTTCAGGGTCTACTGAACACTGCAACCTTTACAGTCCATATCTGTTTAAGCTCAACATCTGCTAACATGACCACCAGAGGTGAACCCATAACGTAAAGTTTGTTTAAGTCTTTACAGACCTAATCCCAGTTATCTTTGTTTTCTATCATTTTACCTTGTGATTGCTTCCCCATGGGAAGAGGTTATGCTGAACCCACAGTACAGTCAGGGTTATCATATTGCAAGTTCTGCTCTATAGACATTTCAGCACTAAGCCAGAGCCTCAGAAATCTCATAAAGTTTTTTTTCTTTAAAAAACAACAACAAAGCTTTCTGGCATGCTTTCCAAGAGAAAATATTTACAAAGCTTATGTGAAGGGGAAGAAAATTGGGAGAAGTAAATGAGCACATTTTTATGAAAGAGCCACACAGAAGCATATATTCATTTTCCTCCTCTGCAGTATCTTTTTATCTGTATTATGCATCAAAAGCTTCCCAAGACCTCTTATTTAAGCTCTTATGACATTTCTTGAATTTCTCTGTGTTGCTCATATAATTAAACTTCCAGCTTCCATAAAGTATCCATCAATGAAATGCAAAACACTGGCAACTCTAGAAAGTATCAAGTATTCTCAAGCAAGAAACTTTTTCCCCCAGCTAGTGGAAACTAACTAATGATATTGTAAATATTGTTCAAGAATTAGTATGGGAAAAGTATTAAAATAGATCAATAGCTTATAAAAAAGATACTATTAGCCACACACAAAACAAACAAAAGAAAGAGGCCAGACATTAACTTATGCTTATGCATAAAAGTTCTATGAAGACAAATATTTGATATTTTCTAGAATGAAAAATGAGGAAAGGAAATTAAGTTTTCAGTAAGAGTTATGTTGATCCAACTGCTAAAGGAGGACCGGTTAAATTGTAACTGCCACACTAAGAATAATATCCTGTAAAATGTAGAAACACATTTTACAAAAATATTTATAAAAACTACCAGATACAAACTGAAAACCATGAAATCTGAAGAGCTTTAGTTTTAATCTGTTCAGTCTCAATTTTAGTACACTATTTTAAATTCAATTACTTTGGATGTCCTTGATCATTGATGAAACAAAGAACTAGAAAAATGAATTATTTATTTTATTTCTTTCTTGGTTTTTTTAAAAAAGCCAAAGTTACATATAGTTAATATATACAGAAGTTAAAACAATTAAAAGATACACAATATAAAACTCTTCCACCAATAATAAATTATAAAAATAATCAACTGGACTAAGGCAGTTAGTTAAAAACTGACTAATTATGTTCTTGGAGTCGAGAAACATCTTTACCTACTGCGGAGACCTACAATGTTAGAGCCAGGCAGACCTCCCAGAGGAGAACACACCAGGAATGGAAAACCACAGTCAAAACAGTTCTCTTCCTTGTCACCACTCTCTAAGCCAGTGGTTCTCAACCTGGGGTCCCCAGATGTTTTTGGCCTACAACTCCCAGAAATCCCAACCAGTTTACCAGCTGTTAGGATTTCTGGGAATTGTAGGCCAAAAACATCTGGGGACCCCAGGTTGAGAACCACTGCTCTAAGCCTTGCTTGAAGCAAGTACTCTGAGGAAGATTTCAGATGTCAATAACAGGTACAAGCCTGTTAGTAACTAGAGGAGTGTTGGTAACCAACCGTCTCTTAAACACTTCAGCTTGACATTAGTACATTTTGCATAAGATTTCCAAGAAAAGTTGACATTTAAGTTTATTGTTGCCCAGCTAAATAACTTAGCTACAACATGAATATGTGGATTTTAGATAAGGAGAATGGATGGATTTTGCAAGTCATGTGTTGAAGATATTTCACAGAAACAGCTCTAACAAGTAGTGCTAAAATAGAAAATAAAGACAACGTATGGGGAGTTTTTGTAGCGGAGGTTTCACAATCTTCCTGGAAGGAAAATGTTCCTCAAACAACTTGTCCATAACTCCGACAATTTGTCCACAGAAATGGCCTGAGATAAGGGTAATATACATTTCAGGTTATCTGCTTTCTCTCCCACCCCCTCACAATGTGTCTGTCATCTGAAGGGGAAAATAACAAAAATGTTATCATTAAAAGACAATCAAGAACCCAGTAGCATCTTTGAGATTTCCCCATATACTCACATAAGTCTAGAAATGTTGTTTAAAAATATCAACCCTAAAAACCTGGGCAGACATAGCTACAAGTTAATGTTAAGACTATATTAACTCTTTCAAAAAAAAAAAAAAAGGACCACCTCCTTCTCTGAATAGAGTGGTGAAAGGCAAAAGCTTAGTAAAGCCTATGAGAACCTAAAAGAAGCACCAACCATTTTGTCTGCTGTGGTGCACCTCTGGACTTTTTGGATGCCTCGTTGGGAAAATGAAGGGAGTAGCCAGCAGCAGCAGGCCTCCAGGCATTGCATTGGTCCATTGTGTTGGGTTTTGTCCCTGATTGCACAAGTCTCCAGCTCTCAATTAGTAGTTTGCCTAGATAGATTAGAATGAGGGATTCCTTCCCCAAGTTCCCTTTGAATCCCTATCTCAAGAAGGGGCTTAGAAAGGGGAGTTGTCTTACTCATCTTGTATGCCACTATCTCCTCCCCTTTGAATTCTTAGCAATGTGATATCTCCAGAGAAGACATAATTTCCTCTTTAAAGGTATTTTTATTGCCCTGGTGAGGTCATGTAGTCAGTTCTCCATTTTTTTCCCCATGGAAGCTTTATGTCTAATGCTAGCCTTATCTCCCTAAAACATCCTCTGTTGACTTCCATATTCAATTTAAAAGTACACCTTCTTTCAAAGATGAATAACCAATGGCTGCAAACAGCATTAATTGCTACTTATTAAGACAGACACCTTAAATAATTTGAAACTATCTGCTCTAGATTTCAGCCAGAAAAAATTGTAGCCCTGAAAAATATTTACTACTCACAACTGAAATCAATATTTATTTATCGTGTCGGGATCTGAAATCAATGAAGCAATGCAATTAATAACAGGATACTCAGTAGGAATGAGACTGGAAATAGATAGGGTAATTATCTGATTCAAGCAACTAATTAGCATCAATGCCCACTTACCCTATTCAGGCAGTACTTGCTGTTCTTTTCATAAAGATGCTGAAGACATTTCATGTTTTGTTTGTCCACAATCTTGCCAAAGAATTCATTTATGGTTTTGATGGAGACTGCACAGACAGCAGATTTGTGGGTTGGTTCTGAAGAGTCGGGTTTACTTTGGGCAAATGCACCAAACAAAACATCATCATTAACATCAAGCCCCATTTCCTGGGCTAAGGCTGCACCCGGCTTGCCAATATAGGCCGCCTGTAGAAGATTAAACACCTCATTTGACCGCTTGGTTGACCTCTTTTTACGTTTTTCAGTATAAATACATTCAAGGGGCATTTCCATGTATGAACGCAGCTCGGAATCAAAAGAACAGAACCGTACGATCCTTGTGTGAAAAGCCTGGGAGTCTAGAGATTCTCTCTGGACAGTGAGAAAGTACACAAAGTGGTCCTTTTCAAATGCATGAATGTACTTAATGGGGTATGAATTCCTGAATTCTGGAAGGACGTCAATATAAGAGTAAAGCGTGAGAAACTCAAAACCATCCAAGGTTTCTTTTAATCTCCGGACTGATATTGAATGTAGCAAATGGTCTTGCTGAGATGAATTATTTACAGTATTCCCAACATAGAAGTACACAAATCTTTCCTTTTCTGTCACCAGCACTTTGCTGCCTAAAGGGCTTACAACACAGTCAGGACACTGGTCTGATTCTTCGTCCGCTTGCTTGGAATACATACAGTGCACGTCACTTCGAATGTCAGCGGGATTGCTAGGATGAATGACATGGCGCTGGCAAGTTCCTTTTGCAGCGCTCCCACAGCTGATGAGCTGATGATCATAGTATGTTTCTAGGAACAGAGCCATGTTCTTGTTATCCTTCCAAATGTTTTCAGATTGGTTTAATCTAGGTGCACACTCTGTACAGGGAGCACAATCTGGGTTCTCCAAAACAGGTCCAGTCTTGTATACAGAGACACTGTGAAGGCTTTCATTTAAAACATAGATCTTGTTGATGGCTCCTACATAGAAGTGATTCTTGTACATAACTATATTTTGTATTGGTGTTTCCGCAGTGAAATTAGGGAGGTGATATTTCACATTCCAATTCATCTCCGGCCTTGAAACTGCTCCTTTACATTTGCCATTGCTCCTCTGTACGAAGGTGAACAGAAATAAAATAATCCCAGAAGCAGGAGTAGCAAAAGTCTTCATTACTGCAGATTAATCCTGTCAAAAGACATTTTCAAAAAGTTAGTAACAGAAATTGTAAGATTTTTAATAGCACAGGGAAACTTAATGTCAAGGTAAGAAGGTGACTAAAATCTGTTACTTGTATCCGGGTTGTGTTTTACCCTGCTTGCCCAGTTAACATCCTTGGAAATAATCTGTATATCCAATTGAATTCTGTAGGCATGAGGAAGTCACTGCTTCTGTCTGACATTCTGTTCTTATGTTGATATAATTTGTGATAGATTCTGTTTTTTATTTAATTTAGATGTTATAATGTCTTTTATATGTTGGATTATTATGATTTTCGTATTAGGAGTGACTTGAGAAACTGCAAGTCACTTCTGGCGTGAGAGAAGTGGTTGTCTGCAAGGACATTGTCCAGGGGATGCCTGGATGTTTCTGATGTTTTATCATCTTTGTGGGAGGCTTCCCTCATGCCCCTGAATAAGGAGCTGGAGCTGACAGAGGGAGCTCATCCACGCTATCCCCAGATTCGAACCTGTGATCTGTCAGTCTTCAGTCCTGCCGGCACAAGGGTTTAACCCATTGCGCCACCGGGGGCTCCCATTATTTTGTTATTATTGGTTGTTTTGCTCAGGCATTGAATGTTTGCCTTTTTGTGAATTGAATCCGCCCTGAGTCCCTTCAGGGAGATAGGACAGAACACAAATTATTATTATTATTATTATTATTATTATTATTATTATTAATAATAATAATAATAATAATGCTACGGGCTTGATTACACCACCAAAATAACCAGCTGTAATTTGGGTTACTTAGCCTCGGCTTTCCCTGATTGACCCCATTAGTACCACATATATTTGTTATATACAGCTCTGAAATCGTATTGCTGCCCAATTCCCGAATTCAAATCAGCACATTTTTTATATCTCTTTTTCCTCCAAAATCATTTTGCCTTCCCAGCCCAAAAACTTCTTCACCAAGCCCCACTGGAATAGTCACATGCTTGGACCACAGCCATAGATTCCCATACATAAACTAGGAAAATATAAAACTACTAGCCAGTTAAGTAAGTGCGAAGCACAAATAGGGTTCCAGCCTCCCCGACCCCCCCTCTCTATATATATGAGACACACACACACACACGCATGCTATAGTGAGCAGCCATTTATAAACAGATGCTTTACAGGATCTGCAAAATAACATTGTAAAAGTTTATTCCACTCATTTTAATGAACAGGCTTCATCTCTTTTAGAAACAGAATCATTCTGCTTTAAAGATAAAAGTAAAATAAACCACAGCTCCATTCAAAGATTGAAGGTCAAGTCAGTACAGATTGTTAAACATTTTGGGCTTCTGAATTTCCACTGGTATTTTGATATATTTTGGAACAAAAATAAATCATTCATGATTTTTTGACCTTATGAAGCTAATGTGTTAATCACTACCATTGCTGACAGATTATATGCAAATATAGTCATCGTGTCATGATTTCATTGGCTCTGTTCCAGGGATGACTGTATTTGACTGTAATCCATTGTGAGGAGCAAAAAATATTAACAAAGTACTTTTTTTTAAAAACCCCACAAAATGTTGTTTTCAAATTGTTTATGATTTGTCTTATATTATTCTAGGTGATTTGGGGATATCCTTACTTCACACTCCGAGTGATGCTTTTTTCATGTACCTTACATATTGACCCATTTTGCTGAGCAGAAAAAAAAATCCTTAAAGCAATACTTCGTGTTTCTTGGAATGCCTGGGTAGGCAAAATACATTATTAGACAAAGAACTGACAAAGCAATTTGGTTGAGCAAGAGTCTAACCTAGCAGTTTTTCATTTTTGATGTGGTTTTCAGAGTCAGGAGATTCATGATTAGGGTGATATGAAAAACTTGCACATGAGTAAATAAATCAATTCCTGTTTGAAAGAGCAAATTTTGCACCAGTTTTCAACATTATACCCCATGCCACATCAAACATTGTTCTACCAATATTTAGGCACAGTTGCTAAACTAAATTTAGTTTCCTTAAAGGAAAACAATTAAGCTGCCTAAAAAGAGATTGACCATATGCTGTTTACAAGATTTTGTGGAAAATATTATTTAGCTACAGATGAATAGTATTGTAACTAGTACACAAATGCTCACAGCAATAGAATCATAGAGTTGGAAGAGACTCAGTGAACCATCCAGTCCAACCCCCTGCCAAGAAGCAGGAAAATTGCATTCAAAGCACCTCCAACAGATGCCCATCCAGCCTCTGTTTAAAAGCCTCTAAGAAAGGAGCCTCCACCACACTACGGGGCACAGAGTTCCACTGCTGTACAGCCCTCACAGTTAGGAAGTTTTTCCCAATGTTTAGGTGGAAAGACCTTTCCTATAGTTTGAAGCCATTGTTCCACGAACTAGTCTCCAGGACAACAGAAAACAAGCTTGCTCCCTCCTCCCTATAACTTCCCCTCACATATTTATACACAGCTATCATGTCTCCTCTCAGCCTTCTCTTCTGCTGGCTAGACATGCTGATTTCTTGCTTATCCAACCTTTGCTTATCCAACAGTCTGTATTATCCAATACAGTCTGCCTCCTGCCCAGATCCACTACTGTTTCAATACATTGTGATTTTTTGGTGCTAAAATCGTAAATACAGTCATTACTATATAACCTTACTGTGTATTGAACTGCTTTTCTGTTGATTTGTTGTAAAACATGATGTTTTGGTGCTTAATTTGTAAAATCATAACGTAATTTGACGTTTAATAGGCTTTTCCTTAATCCCTCCTCATTATCCAACATTTTCATTTATCCAATGTTCTGCCGGCCCATTTATGTTGGATAAGCAAGACTCTACTACAAGATACATACAGATAAAAAGCAAGTTAAAATTCACAAGTCAAAATTGACTGGATAGGCCTGCCATTTACTAATATGGGGTCCAACAGTCCGGGAGATCTAGATCACAAACAGCACTAACAAGAGATTTGTGGGTAGACAACAAACTGTCTCCAAAGACTCAGCGCCATCACCAGTTATTCTGTTTGTGGAGAGCATGACCTCATCATGGAACATCCATCTCGTATTATAGATGGCTGTCGGCCAGCTACCACAAGTGTGGTCAGCAGTGACATGTCATGCTACTTGAGGGGCAAAAATAGGTGTCACACTTTCTAGGATGACCATGGAAATGAATGTGGCCTGACTAACATGCATCACTGCATGCGTGAGGTTAATTTTCTCTTCTTAGCATAATTCCAACCATTATACATGGTTATGTGTGTAATTCGTCTTTTAATTATCTGGGCAATGGCAAGTTCCAAATCCAAAAATATTAAACTGTCTTTTTAGAACCACCTGGAAACTGCACATTGGACTGCATTCCTCACTCATCCTGAGATAAGTAATCCCATTCAGAAATACAGAACTGGAAAGTAACTTGTTGGATTGTCTTGTCCGTAAATACAGACAGTCCCCAAGTTAAGAAAAAGATTGGTTTTGTAGTTTGTTCTTCAAGTGAATTTGTATGTAAGTTGAAACAGGTATGTTTTAAAGTGTAACTACAGCAAAGAATGTAGCTTTTTAAGCTTTGGTTAACCTAAGGAAGGAGTAACACCTCTGTAGTGTTTTTTGCTGTTTTTTTTTTTGCTTTCTGTGCCCCTGCTCAGAAGATTTCACCTCACTTTCTGTCTCTGAGATAATTGGATTTTGAAAAATTTGGCTTGTTGTGGAAACAAGGATTGCTGATAAAGCTTCACCTTTCACTCATGGTAACTTTCAGGAGTGAATTTCCATTCCTAGAGGTAGATCCCTCTCACTTCCTGTTGTCTCACCCCAGTTCTTAACTAAGAGCCATTTGTAAGTTGGATGTTTCTAACTCAAGGACTGCCTGTATAATAGTAAATGAAAATATGCATGAACAGTCAGGCCCCACATTAACTGGAGTTAGTGAAAAAAGGTGAATAAAAATTGCTGCAATTTAACCTAAGATTTGAAAAGAGGTCCTATTGAGGAGGGAGCAAGCTTGTTTTCTGCTTCTTCTGAGACTAGGACACAGAATAATGGATTCAAGTTGCAAGAAAAGAGATTCCACCTGAGCATTAGGCAGAAAGTTCTGATGGTAAGAACTGTTTAGCAGTGAAATCTGTTGCCTTGGACTTGGAGCATGGTGGAGTCACCTTCTCTAGAAATTTGTGAAGAGAGACTGGATGGCCATCTAGCTGGAGAGCTTTGATTGTATATTCCTTCATGGCAAGGAGTCATACTAGATGCCCCCGGGCAGGCCCGTAGCCAGGATTTTGTTTTGGGGGGAGGCTGAGTTTCGGGGGGGCTGAGTCTGAGTGAAAGAGGGTCTACCCTAGCAAACCATTTGTATCATTACCCCAATACCCCCATGCATATGGGATATATTGAGTATGGTGATCAGATCATGATATGAATAAACATAACAGTTTAAATAATGCACCAGTAAGGCCTTTTGCGAACCACCATGAGAATTTCGGGGGGGGGGGGGGCTGAAGTCCCCCCCCCCCCCCCCCCCCGGCTACATGCCTGCCCCCAGGAGTCTTTTCCAACTCAGCGCGGCTTATGATTCTAAGAAAAAAATCGCTCTGGGAATTTCTAGAACCAACATGATTCTATGGTCAACGTCCATGAAAGCTGATAATAGAATCGCCTGAAGGACCTAAAAATACCAAGAGAATTATTCTCTCTAGGACTCTCTAGCTCCTCCAGTGCAACACTATGACTAATATTTGGCTGAAGTTAATCAAAGAGCAGGATTTAGAGTAGTGGTTCTCAACCTGTATGTCCCCAGGTGTTTTGGCCTACAACTCCCAGAAATCCCAGACAGTTTACCAGCTGTTAGGATTTCTAGGAGTTGAAGGCCTAAACATCTGGGGACCCATAGGTTAGGAACCACTGATTTAGAGACTCTAGAGATAACATTTAAATCAAATCCACAATGAATCGAAGCTGAAAAAGTGAACTGATTAAATGTCTCCCAACAAAAGCCTCCCCAACCTCCTTAGAAAACT